TATAACACATAAAAGAAAGCAATTGGCTGGAGAGATGGCTCAGCAGTAAGAGCACTGGCTGCTTCTGCAGAGGACCCAGGTTTGAGTCCCAGCACCCACATGACAGCTAACAACCATCCTAACTCCAGTTCCAGGGAACCCAGTGCCCTCTTCTGACCTCTGTGGGTACTGTGTGGCATGGGTACACATACATGCATGCAAGCAATACACTCATAAACTAAAATTAATAAGTAAAATCGTTTTTTAAAAAAGAAGGAAATTAAGATGGCAAAACGAGTTTATTAAAGAGAATCGCATCAAATATCATTCAACACAAATGAGCTTTAAAAATAATCAACATAGCAACTGATCTTTAGTCTTTCCCTCCATCAGACCAATCTGTTCATTTCAAATACAGTGCTGATTAATAGCAATCAACATATAATTAGCCGACGAAGAAGGTCACACTGAGGTTGGCTACCCTAGTCGATCAAAGACTGTCCTTCAAGTACTTGTGACACATGTTTGGATCATGTTGGCAGCTGTCAAAATCACAATGCGTAAAATATAGCTCTAGATCCACCGCTGCCTGGCTGACTAGATGCTGCACGGTTGAAGGAAAAAAAAAAAAAAAAATCGCAGACGAGCTGTGCTACTCTGAACCACACGGGGCACTGTGAATCTAGTTCTTTATCACTATTCCTGCATCATCAAGTCAGGAAAGTTTAACAGTGATTCGATAAGGGTTTGATGGCTGCGAGAAAGTTGCATGAAGATTCAAACACTGTATTTGCTATGTGAAAAGATGACCTAGTAAGCTATCTACGAAACATAAGAAACAACATGTCCTTTTGTTTCACTAAAGAACTGTAATCAGTATGGTTCAGTGGTAAAGCTTGTTACCTCAAAGTAGGAAGATGTTCATTCATTCATTCATTCCATAAATATTTATTGATCACCTACTCTGCGATGCTGTCTGTGCTGGGAACATACTGGAGAACAAAACAGGAGAGTCTCTACTTTCAAGCTCTCTGCCTTCTGAGATGAGGAGAGCGCAAAGTACAGGCAAAATGTTCCTTATAAAACAGGGAAATGCTATGAAAGCTTAGAGAAGAGGCCCCAGAGTGAGAGGCGGCTGGGTGAAAGCCCAGTTTTAAACAGGAAGGTCTTGGGCTGGGGAGGTGGCCCAGCAGGCAGTGCACATGCATGAGGATCTGGGTTTGGATTCCCAGCAGCAGCACATCTGTGAGCTCAGTGCTAGGGAAGCAGAGACCAGAGGACCCCCAGAGCTCCCTGGCCCTCTAGTATAGCCAAATCAGGTTCTGTGAGAAACCCTGTCTTACAAAACAAGGTGCAGAGAAACAGAGGAGAAACACTCAAAGTCACCCTCTGGCCTTTCATTCACACACATGCACACACATCTTCACACATACCTGCACATACAGATCTGACTAGGAAGATGGCATTTACAGAAAGATTTGCGTACTTGTTATCCAAATCATGTATCTTTCTGAAGGAGAAGTACTCTGGAGAAGGAGAAGACAAAATAAAGGTTCAGAGGCACTGGCTGGCCTGCATCCTTCAAAGAACAGCAAATGGCCAGTATTACCCAAGTACAGAGAGCAGACGGCCAAGGGTACGCAGGCCCTGTTGAAACAGGCTGGGCGCTCTTGGTCCAGGTCTAGCAAGGCCCTCACTCTGTAGCTGTCCTCTGCCACAGGTTGCTTCAGTGCTGAGCAGCGTCTAAAAGCAGTGGGGCCAGGAGGCAGAGTCTGGATTCTCTAGGTCCCCCTGCTCTGTGTGTGTGTTTCCCCGCTGTTCACCTTACTGGAGCAACACCTCTCAGCTGCTAGATCAACTGTGCTAGAAGCACAGACTGGGGAGGCAGTGAGCCTTTTAGAACTTCACAGGCCACTGAGCTCAGTGAAGCCATCAGGCACTCCTGGTAGGCAGAGAAGGGAAGCTTCTAGAGTCAATGCTGCCCTGAGACAGACACTTGACTCTTAACTGCGCCAGCACCCAGCTTGCACACAGCACCAGGTACATGACAGAAAAGATCACAGACTAAAGTTACAGACAACCACCCTTCACCTGACAGATTCCAGGATCAGAGGGCCCAGAGGAAGGCAGGACATCTTTTTATTTTTAGTCATTTTTTTCTATTGTATTTTTGGTATTGTTTTTACTTCATTTAAAAATATTTCTTATTTTTTCACTCCTTATCTTTATCTAATTATATTTGCCTATTTTATCTTTATTTTGTAATCAAATTTTACCTCTTGCCCTTTCTCTGCCTATCACCGTCTTCTTATTATTCTTTATTTATATTTAATCTTGACTTCTGTTTTCCCTCTCCTAGGCACCTTTCTTTATTTCATTCATTTATTATTATTTAATCTTAATTTTAGTGTCAGAGCCTAGTCTCCATTATGTTTTGTAGTTTTCCATTCTATGTGTATTGGTGGTAAAGTTGTTGGCTTGGTGTTATTGTTGCTATGGAGTTTGTTTTCTCTCCTCTGAGTAGTACCCTCCAAAATAAGCTTAGAAGAGAGATTTTCCCCCACAGATATACTAGTCAAAATGTGGGAACACAAGAAACACAAAAACAAGGCAAAGCCCTTCCGAAAGATCACAACTCCTCAATAAGTGAGTCCAAAGACCCTGAACTGGTAGGGACACCAGGCAAGAAATGGGAAAGTCTCTTTGGTAAAGGACCATGAGGAGGGCTTGAACAAACGGATAAAGTCAAGTCACAGCCTGGACGAGTAAGTCACCAACAGAGGAGGAATTCAGGGAGGAAACCGAGATTTTGAAAACACAAACAAACAGAAATGTTAGAAATGGAAAACTCAGTAGATAAAAGCATGGCCAGAGATTAAGTCGTGAAGAAAACCAAAGTAGAAGACAACGTCAAGGAAACACTATATTCCGACATCAATCTGGAAAAAATAGGCATGACCACAACTTTCAAGGACTCTGAGGACACGATCAAGCAACAAGACCCATGAATCCATGTGGTGAAGAAAGGAGCACAGTGAGCTCCAGGCCAGCTGGGGCTACAGGGAGACCCTGTCTCAAAAAGACCAAAAGAAAGAAAAGAAAAGAAAAGAGAAGAGAAGAGAAGAGAAAAGAAAAGAAAAGAAAAGAAAAGGGAGCCGGGATGGAAAGGAAAGTCACAAAATACTATTCAATACAATAATAGTGGGTGGTTTTCCAAAACTAGGGAAAGCTATAGACTTCTAAGTACAGGCGCCCTTGAGATCCCCAAATAGAAATGACCAGAAAAGAATCTGTCCACATTACATTATAGTTAAAAGCTAACACTACAGAACAAATTATATATATTGAAAGTGACAGTCCCTACATGCACACTTCCCAAAGCCAGACTTCTCAGCATAAATGCACAAAATCAGGAAAGGATGAAATGAAACTGTCTGTCTGTCCGTCCATCCGTCCATCCATCCGTCCGTCCATCCGTCCATCCATCCATCCATCCGTCCATCCGTCCATCCATCCATTCATCCATGAAGCCATCAGAGTAAAGAACGGTCAACCAAGATTACTTTATCCAGCAAAATTATCTTTCAAAATTAGCGGAGAAAGAAAGACCCTTTAAGACAAATACAACTGAAATAATTCAAGCCAACTAAGCCGGCCTTGAAAGCAACTCTTATACAAGAGAGACAGACACGGAAGAATCTAAGAACGTTGCTTTTACTACAGACACAGATGAGCAAACAAGGTAAAGGAATTAAAATATATCCAAGTCATCAAACTATCAAACTCCTAAGATACAAAAGAAAGAGTAGGCACTCACTAAGTCAGAATTACCCTCACCAGACACAAGGTGGTATCTCTGGAGGTCTGTGCTAAATTGATCAGCGTCTCAAAGGAAAAGAATCTAAGATTGAAGGCCAGTCCTCACCACTGCTAAGATGTTGAAAATCATAATAAGAAAAAAAACCTTGTGGCGAAGGTTCTAAGATGCTGGATTGTTCTCAGATGAGCATTCTCAAATGATTCATTCATTTAGATAGGCCCTCTGAGATTGCTAAGCAAATCACTTTCATCCATATTGAGCCAGGAATGGAGGCAGAAGCCCCAGTCAGCTATTTTAATAAAGTGACTTATTGGTCCTTTTAAAAGGTATTTTTTCTATCACCATGCGCTAAAGACTGCTATGTATTATCATTTGTCCTTTTGAATGGGATCTATGTTTTAATTTTCCTGTCCATTTCCCACTGAGCACTTCATTTCAGGACATGATGGAGGGAATCCTGAATCTCTCATAGATCTTGGACTCTGAGTTAAAGACAGTGTCATATGGGACTCTGGCCTCCCCTTTGGGAGGAAGGATGATGTGGAGGCTGGAGGGGAAAGGAGAGAGGATACAACTAACCGTCCACTGATATCTGTGCTTCATGTCCTGTACCCTGGGCTCACACTGACACGGCTTCAAGTCCTTCCTCCTTGCATGAGGTCTGACTATATACAACTAATTTATCTCCATCACTGTGGGGTAGAGTTGCCGTGTGCAACTCCGCTGATCCCGCTTTTGCGAGCAGGTTGCTTTATTCACGCACTCTGCGTCCTTCAGGAGACTAGATGCAAGTGACCAGGAGCACTTAAGGGAAGGCAGACCCACTAGATGGAAGGGGCCTAGAGGACAGCAGTCCACTGGCCACAAACATCTGCCCTGTGCTGTCATAGGGTCAACACGGTTGTGTCAAGTCACTGCCTGCTAGCATTTATTAGATACAGAAGGTACTGATGTTAAGAATGTGTATCAACCTTGCAGGGCCCCAGTTATTTATAAAAGTAAACGGTTAGATAAGATAATCGCTGTTCCTCAGTAACTCTGCAGTGATTCATCTCTGCTTGGTTTTGTTGTATGAACATGAGATCATGCTTGTGTCTTCCCACCATACATGCACAAACTTAAAATGGAATTTCTGCACTCTTTCATTCAGAAGTGTTAGGGACTGTTAGTAGCAGCAGCAAACCATCTCTCCTTCCCTTACCTGTGTGGTGGGGCAGTGCAGCCTTAACATCATGGAGGGATTCGTACATCTGAACAGGTTAAAGTAAAACAAAACGGGCTTATTCCTGTTAAAAGAAAAAGAAAACAGCATAAAAAATCTCTTCAGTGATTGTGGGAACGTTCTAGGAAATGTCAGACCACAAGCATTTTAACACGCTGCTTTTAAAAATTGGCTTCGTTTTCTGTAGACAGCTGCAACACGTTCCCCAAATCCCCATCAGGTTGCCTAATGATCAAAGCATCTTTCTGTAATTATAAAAAGTTGTAACAAATTGTCCATCAGCAAGGGACTGGCTAAATGCAAAATTGTACATGATAAAGTGGAAGATTACATTGCCATTGGAAATAAAGTTGATGAACATGTTTAATGAATGGAGACATTAATAAGACATTCATTTTAGACAGCAGCTTGCTAAAGAGTGCTAAAATATGATTTGACTTTATGGAAGCAAGTATCATAAATGATATACAAAAAGAAATTATAGCTAAATGTTGGGGTTATATTTATTCATTTAATTTTATGCCCTTATGGGTTTCCTAAACATAAACATGTATTACATTGGTAATCTAAAAAAAAATAACATGATACTTTCTGTTGAAAACAGTAATCAGTGGGAGTCAATACAGTATTTTCAATGGAATATTACCTTGTTGCTTGACATTCTCTTTTGAATTTCAATTTGCTCATTAGTAAAATGAAGATAATACCAGCCTAACCTACTTCACAAGGGGAAGGAAAGGATCTAAGATACTGTGTACTGAATTTAAGCATCCAACTTCAGTATGGGAAGAAAAAGATGGAGTGCTGATCGCAAATTCAGATTCCTGACTTCTCCTCAACTCCCAAGGCCCCAAGTATCTGGATACAGACTGAGGGATTAGAATTCTTTCCTCTAAGCTCCCCAGTGCATTCAGAAATTGCTGTTCTCTAAAGTACGTCTTAAGAATCACAGCCCTGGGGCCGGGGATGTAGCTCAGTTGGTAGAGTACTTGCCTACCTAGCATGCAGGAAGTCTTGGGTTTGACTCCCAGGATCCCATAACGTGGGTGTGATGGTACCAGCAATCTCAGGACTGGGAGATGAAGGCAAGAGGATCAGAAATTCAAGGTTGTCCTCAGCTACATAGCAATTTTGATTACCCCCCCCCCAGGCTATGAGAGATCATGCCTCAAAACCCAAACCAAACCAAAGAAATCAAAACCCCATAAAGACCATAGCCTCAACTACTTAAGAAGAAAGTTTCCTCAAACCTTGTCAGGCTAACTGTGCTACCATACATAGCATGAAAGGTACAAAGAGCTCTTGAGCTATGCTTTTCCTACTGATTCAGTATGGTCCAAATCTAAATATGTAGGAAGCCCTCGGTAAGAAATCTCAGCTAGCTCATAACCTCACCTCCACCCACTTCCTGCCCTTGTCACCTGAGCATAAATGGTGGGAAGGAGGAGGACTGGAGAGGAAAGTTGGAGCAGAGCTAAGGGAGCTTCCCTCCCTTCCTCCCAACATCAAAAGATAGAGCTTTGAGAGCCCCTGACGGAGACCTTCACCGGAATGGTGGCCCAGCATGCCTTTTTGCAATGGATCACCTCTACTGCGGAAGACCTGTTTCTCAGCCTAGTTGAGGAGGTAGAAACAAAACCACAAGAGAGCTCAAAGTGGACCACAGAGCAGAAAGCGGCGCGTGGCGGCCTGTCATGGCAAGACTCCGACTCAAGTAAACGGGCTTGGGCCTTCCTGGTGGTACTTTGTCACCAAGAGAGACTGGAGGGGAACCAGCAGGAACAGAATCGAAGGAGGGGAGCAGAGCCCTCTGGCATCTCACATCAAAGAACTGTGCAGTAAGGTTTCCCCTGTTCCTCATAAGAGAGGTGGAGTATAGATGCCCACCCCAAAGTGGGTATTGATAGCCTATCAGTTGTGTCTCCAGTGCAATGACAGCCACATTGGCACCGTGGCAATGACTATCAAAAAACCAGACACTCATCCTTCACAATATGAGGAAAGAGCCAGAACCAGAAAGGAAGAAAAAAGCTCCTTTATTGGGTCAAAGCTACGCAGAGGGAAGGAAGAAGTGACATTGAAATGCTTAATCTAGACCACACTAGGCTGCTAACAGTGAACAGTGTCTGAAAAGCTACAAGGTCTTCCTGCGACAGCAGACCAAGGAAGCGAGATGGGAGAGGCTATGGAGGCAATGACCGGAGAAAAGTCAACCCGCTTCATGTTGGTTTCTCAGCGGGTTCAAATGATTCAGACAGCTGGTTGTAAACCTATTCATAGTCCACACAGGGCCACCCGGAGACCCACAGCGCCGGCTTGGCTGTATCACCACTCACACAATCCCCCTTCCACACAGCCTCGTGTGGCCTGTGGTTCACATCTAAGTGAATGAGTGAATTACTATACATGGCAGCCCACAGAGTCCCCTAGAAGTTACAACTGAGAGTCATAAATCAGTAAGCATCAAGGCAAAGCTGGTTTATAAACTGAACTGTTTCGTAAACACCAGTTATTTACCAGGTACAGAGGGTCCCTTTGTCTTCCTTAAGTCCCTCTGATGCCAAAATGAAGCCATGAGTGCCGTCCACTTCAGCTAGTTGCCAAACACGGAATGAAAGAGATCACCTCCAAAGTGAGTTTTCAAGGGTCCTATAGGGTGCTCTTGAACTTTCAAGCACAAATCTGCGAGTCATTCTACCAACCTCACTGATATCCCCAAGTCTCAGGGGCCTCAGATCCTTAGGCGAGGTCACAACTCGAGACGGCTCTTGAGACAGAGCCTATAATGTAACGTAAGTTGTATTTATACCAAGAAATTACAAAAACGGAAACAAGAGCAAATTAGAGTTTGAAGATGATATTCTGAGCACTAAAGTCCTTATCTCTTCTGGAGACTCAGTAAAATGAGATAATGAAAGTTCAATAGAGAAAAAGCCAAAAAAAAAAAAAAACAACCAGCTCTGCAGGCGCTAAAGATACGGAGATTTGCTCACATCTGGACAGAATACACAGGAGAGTGTTCAGTGATTGACACACCCACAGGACTGAAACCAGATCTGCACTCAGAGTGGATAGTGAGGAACATGGTAAAGCAGGGACATGAACTGAAGGTTGGCAGACGAATCCTCAGCATAAACCAAGTTCTGTGCTTTTCCCGGACACCCACACTTTTCCAAGAACAGGGGCCCGTTCTGTTGAGTGAACTTCCAGAGTTCAGCAAAGGCTTTGGTGAAATTTGGTGCCCCAGCCTCCAGCCCTTCATATTACAGCATTTTAAAAGTCAGTGCCTGACATCTGATTTCTCACCAGGTCATGGAGGAATTTCACAGCCCCACGGCCCACCACTGGCCCAGTGCAGGCATTGCAAACAGACGTACAGATACAACAGCTACAAAAATTCATTCATCTGTCCGTCTTTCTCTCTTTAGTAACAACAGATAATCTATCGAGAGCATGACAGAGATCAGAAGACAAAAAAGACTAGAAGTACCAAACAAAAGTTGATTCTGGGTGAATTTAAAATAGTTCAGGGCCTAGAGAGGTCCTCTAAAACACCTCCAGGGTTTTAAAGGGTTAAAGAAATAACAGAAGAAAATTTCCCCTGATGAAAGCCATAGTCCTTCAGATTTAAAACACTTGCTGAGGGGTCTGGGGATGGCCCTGTAAGGTGCCTGTCACCTGAGCATGAGGACCTGAGCTTGAATCCCCAGAATCCATGTAAAGAGAGGCATGGTAAACACGTGTAAGCCCAGCACTGGAAGTAAGACACAGGCAGATCCTGGGAGCTCCTGGGACAGGTCAGCCTGGTTGCACTGATGACCTCCAGGTTCAGTGAGAGACCTCGTCTCAAAAAACAATGTGGATGGCTGGGCATGGTGGCGCACGCCTTTAATCCCAGCACTTGGGAAGCAGAGGCAGGCAGATCTCTGTGAGTTCAAAGCCAAACTGTCTACAGGGAGACCCTGTCTCAAAAAGACCAAAAATAAATAAATAAATAAATAAATAAATAAATAAATAAATAAATAAATAAATAAAACAAACCAGTGTGGAGAGCTAGAGAGATGCTGAGAGGTTAAGAGTGCTTACTGTACAACCATGAGGACCTGAGTTCAGATCCCAGCACCCACATAACAAGTGTGATCTCCCATGTGCCTGTGACCCTAGGGCTGAATCTGGCGGCAACAGTAAGATTACTGGATGCAGCCTAGCTGAGAAACACCAGCTCCAGGTTCAGGAAGAGATCTTGCCTTAAAGGCCTAAGGTGGGGGTGGGGGTGTGAACTGGAGGACACCCAGGTCTTTTCAGATTTACTTGGTTTGTATTTTAAAAGGCAATCATGCCTTTTCTCTAGAAGCCCCAGCTTATTCTCTGTTCCTTTAGCATAACACCACATTTTCACTATGTGGATGATGTACTTGAATTCCTCTAAATGGACTGGAGGTATCCCTCTTGGCCTCTGGGGCACACACAGGCATGCACACCTAAACACACACTTGCATGCATACACTATACTCACACACAATAAATTTATAAATTAAATAAAGAAATTAAAAATAACATAAAAATGAAGTGGAGAGTAATCCAGGAAGAAACCTAACATCAACCTCTGGCCTCCACATGCATGTACATATATGTTCACCTGTGTGTACATGTATATATACTCATATGACATATACTGTGCCCACGTAGACACACAATGATTCACCAAGAACTGAACAAAAATAATTTTATAAAGCACCTATGATTGGGGCTGGAGAGATGGTTCAGCAGTCAGAGCACTGGCTGTTCTTGCAGAGGACTTCAGGTCCTAGTACCCACATGGCAGTACATAATCATCCATATCTCCAGTTCTAGGGGATCTGACACCTTCTTCTGAACTCCATGACTCCTGCGCCCAGATAATATACTTGTACACTTAGGGACACACACATAAACTGCATATTTTAAAGACCTATGTTGAATACAGTTTTATTCAGCTGTATAGAAACATAAGACTATGGAATTTGCAGGGAAATGGATGGATCTGGAAAGCATTATATTAAACAAGGTGACCCAGACTCAGAA